GCCTTTGCCTTTATAAGGATTTGATTCAGACATGCGAACATTAGCAATTGTTTTCCATTGTTAACGTTAGCGCTTTTCTTATTGTTTATTTTTACACCGACAAAAATGAAGCGGCCGACAAGGAACATAAACATGCAGACATTAAAACGTTCGGTCGGCGTAATAGCTTTAAAGGTAATAGCGCTAAAGTACTAAAGATGGCCGCCATGGCGCTCGGCCGATCAGGTAAAACGCAAAGATTTATGCATCCGAATGTAAAATGCCGAACAATAGTCAAAAGGTTGTACAGATAAACGATCATACGATCGAATATATAAACGATATTTCGAGCCGATTAATTCAAGACATTAATCTTCATATCAGGCATGTGATGCAAACTTGAACTAGTCAAAGTACTAGTTACTAGTTTCTTACGCTTTCCGTAAAAAAATCTGCCAGCTTTACGCATCTTATTYCTTGACGGGCCACAGTCACAGAATCCCGTCTTTAAGTTTCGCACAGTTAAAGGCCGGCAAAAAAACGCTACTTCGGATTCTTCGTCGGGTCTGTAGGCGTATACTTTGAACGCGCCTCTTTGACGCCTCACGAATCGGCTTATCAGAAAAGAAGTTCACAAGATAAAATGCGCAAATAAAACAGAACAAAATGAAAGGGCGGTGGATACCGATTTGTGATCGGACACTCCTTGTCGGTCCAATAAAAGTGTCGGATAYTCATGAACAGAGCCTATACAGCGCGCAATTATCCTCCGTTGACTATTTACGTAGATAATAAGCGTGATGAGTACGCGCGTTACGTCGCGTTACGGACGATTCAATACGTTAACGTCCGAATTTGAAAAAAAACTATGGTTTGAGAGTGAGCCTACTGAATTAAGGTCTTTCTTATTTGAAATATTATTTAAAATTATTTAAAATRCAACGTATTTTCGAAGGTTAGCAACATAAACGCACGAGCTTACGTTTGTGTCAGTTACACACGCAAGGACACGCAAGACTTGAGAACCGCCTAATTAAACCAATACTAGCTGAAATATTTATTCATTTCGAGATAATTCGTATAAAAATGATTCTATAAATTCTACTGTACAATCTTTTTCTACAAAAATAATTTACAAAATTCCAGCATGATCATAAGTAGCTACCATTCTTTCGCGGTCAGTCATGGTTCGTTACCARTCTTTCATGCGTACCCGATGACGTCAGTTGGGTCGTCGGTACTGTGAGTTACAAAGTCACATTTGAATTGAATCTTTTGTACAGCAAYTCTAAAAAACAGTAATAATTGTCATTAAACTATAAAAGATGATAAGAAAAGTAGGTCTCAGCATTTGTCCAGGAGTACAAGACAAGGGGAAGCTTTGTGGTAAAAAGAGCAGAAGATTGTGTTTCCTTCTCGCTGATATCATAGTATATGAAGTATTCGCTTCGCCTGTTTCAAGATGGCGGATGGCATATACATACTCTAGTGGACAAGTCTCCCGATGTCGACAATTCTTTAGAACAACGTTGAATAGCGTGACTGTACATTTGGCTACACTCAAAGACCTTTCTGGGAATAGGCCTTATACATGAATTAACGGTCACATGGTACTAAATCCGCCATATTGGATGGCAAAATAATGTAAATAACCTCAAAAACAAAAGGGACGCAACCCGTCAAACTT